TTATAACGCTCCCACGGCTGAAAGGGCGAGCATGTTTGGTATGACGGGGATTTGAACCCGCGACCCGCAGATTGCGAGTCAGGCGGCCTGACCACCTGTCTAACACACTAATTTATACTTCATCATCAACAGTTTGTCGTAGCTAACAATGTGACAGGTGTTGCTCTGACTGACCTAATACCTAACATTATTATACAATAAATGAAAAACAAAATTCCATATGGACTAGCCTAACGTGATCTACGTTTGTAGGTGAGACTTATTTACATCACTTTCATGAACATTGAAGACCCATGAAGCTGCCACCCTATTACATAGGGTGAAGCACGTAAACTTCCTTCTAGATCTAAAGAATTCGCCCTTCTGCTTTTTAACTTGGATACATAAGAAGACGTAAACTGCAATATGAATATTAGAACGACCCAATCTTTGACACAGGTGCTCATTCATAAGGAACTAAAAGTATAACGTTGATTTTCAGTACACTCTGACGGGGGGAGACATCGGTGTGACCTCGTACTTAAAAATTTGTTCTGATTATCAGTATTAATGTATATGCAAATAAATAATTTTATTCTTTCTGTATTTTGCAGAACTGCAGCCGTAATGGGATGTTTCCTTCGCCAAGGCTTATGCAGAGCTGGCTGGATGGCTTACGTCACGTGACCGGCTTCATGCGGTGCCCGTTAGCTACGATCCTTTAGTCGTGAGTAGATCATACAATCGCTAGGAAAAGGATGGGAGCAGTTTGCGACTACAGAGCAGCAGTTCTTGCCCGGATAAACCGAGTGGTTCTTACGTTTAAGCAGTTCATTTAATAAACTAAAACAAGCTACGGTTCCAATCATGAAATATATATATTATATTCGACCTATTTAAGTTTCCAGCTTTAAGCTACCAATTTCGTCAGATTGGAACTAGCTTTTTCATTTCTTTCACAAATCAAATTTTTTCTCGAGCCTATGATAATGAAAGTCCGCAGAAAACGAGATAGCTGCTTCAGCAACTTACGAATTCTCATTGTCCTCTTTTGTATGAACCCTCTTTTTCTTACAGCACAAAAAGGTAAGTTCGTTCGGGTTTTTTATTAGCAGGATAAATTCTAGTTGGAAATGCCAGTGAATGTTTCAATCAAACATACTTTTTAGCGATGATATTAGGTTACAATGAATGTACTAGCCAGCAAAATAACAGTGAAAAACTTAAATTCCGATTTCCTGAAAAGAAGCCGACTAATTACACGTTGATTTAGTCAAATAATTCTTAACCGCTATTCAGCTTGAGGATGTGGATGAAATACGTTGATGAAATTGTATAAGCGAATCAGATTAAGGTCGTGAACGTAAGGTTTTAAGCGAAACATTCTAAAATACGGTTTGTCATTAAAAGAAGTAATGAAGGTGTTGTACTTTTAAATAATAATAATAATAAAAATGTTTTAATACTCAGTTAATTTTTATTAGTGGTAAATGTTTTAAAATACATAGTCCTGTAACAGCTCCACAGGTTAAAGCTGCTTCTAAATGTCTGACTTAATACTTTCGCCTAGATCAGTTTCATTTATATTTTTGATACCATAACGTCGTTCATTTATTATAATAACTAGGATATCTAATTACTAAAACTCAGGTAGTTTCATAACTTAAGGTAAATTAAATGTCGACCAGATCGTTTAAGTTTAACATTCTTGTGAAACATTTCCCACTTACAGAAAAGTCAGTTGGTTTTAGATATATTGATAACTTTATAAAACTATCGTTGAAATATTAATAATTGTTTACACTAATAAATATTTTAGAAAACTTACATACAATTTTCAAAATCCAGTATCTCTTATATTTCAAACTACACTCAATTATCAAAAATATACATATTTTCTTAAACGTTTGTAAAACGATGTAATATCTGTATAAATTATGATTTGTACACAAAAATGTTTCTTACTGATTAGGTTTGCCGATTTAATCAACCTTTAGATGATTATTATAGAAAAGATTGTGAAGTTATAAATAAACAAACAGCTTATGTAAGCAAAAATATATAATTTCATTTAACCCAAAAGTGTAAGCTTAATAATCATCATGAAAACATAAAGTGAATTAAATTGTTTAATCAATTTATAGATCCTTATTTGTACTATTACAAATGTAGGATATTTTATTTCACATTCAAGCATATTGATCATTAAGCAGATTACTGCTCTCATTAATGAATTCACTTTCAAAGATATTTAGAAAATATAAAGTGTTTTATTATGTATATAACTGAGTGATTTAATATTTATTATAATACGTTTTAGCACCCTATATATTGTATGATATGTTCAACAACAGTACTTGGTTAAATGTTGTACTATTTCAGGGGTATATGTAATCTTAATGCCTGATTTTGAAAGTATTTTGTCGGAAAGCTGCCATTCTTAGCTATGCTTATGTACTGCTAGGAACATATTGTGTCCAAAAGCTTAATAATTTTCCCTTATTATTATAAGCTGGGTTGATTTATTTCCCATGCTTTACAAATCTCTTGATCGATATCAATCTCTATATATGTCTTACTTTGGTAGAGGCTCTGCATACTTTTACATGCTCAGCAGAAGCTCAAAAGTAGATTTAATATGTTTAAATGTTTCCATTTGTGTATATATTAATATCAAGACAAAAATTTGTGACATGCTTTATTTAATGACATATTATTAATAGACCATTGTACGATCTTCATTATTCTCGTATTAGAAGTTTGAGCATCGTGTCTTCATTGTTGGAAGTATTACAGTATTTATGAGTTAGAATGACTAATTAGTGGCATGCTTTATTTATTGACATATTATTAATAGACCATCGTACGATCTTCATTACTCTCGTATTAGAAGTTTGAGCATCGTGTCTTCATTGTTGGAAGTATTACAGTATTTATGAGTTAGAACGACTAATTAGTGGCATGCTTTATTTATTGACATATTAATAGACCATCGTACGATCTTCATTATTCTCGTATTACAAGTTTGAGCATCGTGTCTCAATTGTTGGAAGTATTACAGTATTTATGAGTTAGAACGACTAAATAACGCAGAGATTTTCTATAGGAACAAGTGGCCCTTTCTTCATAATGAAGAAGGAACTATTCTCTGATAACACTAGTTTTATAGATCTTCTTTAATGTGCGGTAATATTACATTCAAATTTGACTAATATGTTTTTATTGTTTTCAATATGATATTTGGACATCCTGAAAATGAATATGAATTACTGTTTACTTTCACAGATCATATACGTGGCCTTAAAGTTACTCACTGATCTTATATGTTACAATTGACTTAAGTTCGTCTGTAGATCAATTCGATGTATTAATTATTGTTTTGTCTTACATCAATGTTGTATTTGCTTTATTGTAAATAATAAGATAAATGAACTTTATTTGTTAGAAACGAAAAAGCTATGGATGGCATCTAATGACATCCTATTTTTGTCACGTATACATATTATAATAGAAGAAATGGAATACGCAATAAGTAAAAAAAAAAAGTGTTTGTATTGAGAGACTATCAGTCATATACATTCACACAATTAGCTTTCCTCACTATCCCGTATGAAAGGGATTTAAAATATTCAAACCTTTATGCTAATATACATTCACACAATTAGCTTTCCTCACTATCCCATATGAAAGGGATTTAAAATATCCAAACCTTTACGCTAATATGGCAGTATCATTATATTTATAAACACTACAACAAAGTAGTACTTTTCCTCAAGTCAACGTCAAAAATTTAATTTTGGAAGTTAATGATAAGTTTTTTATTCCCATATTATTCGTTAACTGATTATTTTTTTTGTATTTCTTTCATACTGTGTATGCGATGTTTGCACGTTCACGTGTAGTAAATCGATCAGGATTTTGCAGAAGTATTCCTGTATTATACAAAAAATACAAATACATTATGCACAATGGTAAAGCAATAACATTATAATTGGTCTTTTTTACAAATACTCTAATTAATGCTATAAAACATTACTTTTAACACTCACGATTTTCAAGCTGTGTTTCATTAAATGACCTTGACATTTTAGAAGTGCGATGTTCAACGCTGTTGTTACTTTTTTGAAAAGTTATGTATGTTGGAATTCTCAGTCAAACAAAAAACGATAATTTGTCTAACTCATAAAGTTTTTTTTTTTGCACACTTTTAGGTGTTAGTAAGTCCACATAACTTGCGAAGGTATAAATTAAAGATGGAATTACAACCTTACCAGTTGTAAATATTACAATCACATCTCAATACAAAAATACCTCCTTTTTAGAAATCAAATCTTAGTCTTAAAATTTATGTTGTCAGATTAAATCTAATAAGACTTAAAAAGATCTAATAGAATGCGTACATAAATAATCACAAAATAATCGTCAACACATGTAGTAGTTCAAACTAAGAAACTATTGAAATATCCAACAGTTGTGCCCCACAAACTGTGAACATTTGTTTTTGCGCAGCAGGAGTAATAACGTGCAATTCGAAGAGAATTATTAATATCT